CTCAGGGTCTTCTCCGCTGCCCACCGCCGACGTGCCACTTGGCATGCTGGTGGCAGCAGTCATGGCGCCTTGCCTCCACCCTTCGGGAGCACGTCCCCGAGTTACAGCTGGGTAGATTAGCTCCAGATCACCTCTTCTCCAGATCAGCTTGCAGAAGAGAAGGCTCCGGGGAGATCTTATTGCCGCCTTCCAGTCCCTAAAGGGGCTCCAGGAGAGCTGGGGAAGGACTTTTTACTGGGGCATGGAGTGACAGGATGAGGGGGAATGGCTTTAAACTGGAAGAGGGGAGATTTAGTTTAGATATTAGGAAGAAATTTTTCACTCTGAGTGTGGTGCTCCCCTGGGGCAGGTTGCCCCGAGAAGCTGTGGCTGCCCCATCCCTGGAGGTGTTCAAGGCCGGGATGGAGGTGGCCTTGGGCAACCTGGGCTGGGGGGAGGTGGCCCTGCCCAGGGCAGGGGTTGGAACGAGATGATCTTCAAGGTCCCTTCCAACCCAAACCGTTCTATGGTTCTGCGATTATGAATCAGGTGGGTTAGCCTAGCACCATCGGGATGTTTGCGAAGTGTGTGCTCCAAGGCCGTTTTCCCCATCAGCTCCTTCAGTCCCCCTCTGGACAGCGAGCCCGTGAGCCCGGAGAGAAAAAATTGAGGTCCAACGAGGTTGGACCAAGCGTGGCAGCCAGCAAGCACAGTGCCGGGCATCCGCTCTGGAGCAGGGTGTCCCCAGGGAAGAGCCACACCTGCAATGGGAAGGGGACCCCACAAACCGACCACCGACCCCTTGATGCCTGAGGACCGTCTGTTGCGGTGGGAGCGGTCCTGGGAGGAGATGCAGCGGCTGCAGTGCACACCGAGGACCTGCTCCAAGCTGCTCGCGGCATCGACCAGAGGCAGCGCTTCGCCTCCGTCCCCCCGCGGCGCGGGACCAGCTGTCCGAGGATCAGGTTCCCATCGTCTGCCCTCAGAGGGGGAAGAAAATCCCCTGGACCAGAGGATGTTTCTCCATCTGCTGTCGTCATTTTCTCCACACGCTGACGTAGCTTCAGCAGTGCTTTTGTCTCTGCTGAATTTAAGGCTGTGCGGGACCTTGAGAGGGAGAGAGGAAGAGGTTCCCCGGATGACCTCCGAGCTAATGGGCACTTAAATCTCTCAGCAGAGAGAAAACTCACCTTCTTCACAAATAATGCATTTTTTAAGTCACCTCAGTTCAAAAAAGAAGTATTTTTTGCTGTATTTGCTTTTATCTCGGGGTGGTTTTTTTTAAATATTTTTTTTTACTGACCCCCACCCAGATACCTGTGTGATGATGGCAGCCGGTAGAAAGGTTGGGTTGATTTTTACTGGAAAAGAATATTCCTCGGTGGAGTTACATCGCTGAATTTCACACGAGCAGGCGTCACGGTCTAATGCTGCCTTCGCTGCCCCCACACGGTGCTCCGCCGCTTCGTCAGGTGAACTTCAGCAGCTCTGCTCTCGTGCCCCGGTCCTCAGGGAGGTGGTCCTGGGGGAAGTGGTGGTCCGACCCATCCGTAGCAGCACCACCCTGAGGGGATCCGCCGGGATGAGTCCGGAGCGGGCGCCGCGGACCTGCCCGCGCTGCCGGGAGGTGGCCCTGCCTGCCCGCAGTCCTGGCTCGGATCAGCGGCCGAGGTTTGGCCCCGCTGCCTTCCTGCCCCTGTGCCCGTGCGGCGGTGGCTGAGCGGAGTCTGGATGGAGCCCTTTCCCCTGAACTCAACCCTGCAGCCAGCGGGGACGGCAGCTCGGAAGACGCAGCTCCGCAGCAGCCTTGGTCCCTCTCCTCGGTGCGTCGGGACCGAGCGGTGGCCATGAGGACCCGCCGGCCGCTGCCTTCCCTTGCGCGGCGCCCGTCTGCAGGGCTGGTGCCAAACCGTCTGGCCAAAGTCTGACGTGTTTTCGTGGAAAGGGGGCACTTTCCAGGTATTCGTGGAGGAAATAAACCTCTGAAAGCATGTGTTCGGCACTGGCTCACCCTCGCAGCGCCTCCTCCGACAGCAGCTCAGCACAGGCACGCCATGGCTTCTGCCACCCTTTCTTGAGAGGTGACACCACGAGTGGCCTGGCAGGAACTCCCCCTGTGCAGGTGTTTTAAGCACCAACGTGGACAAGAAACGTTCAGCAAGAGCATGAGACTCCAAATTTTCTTAAAGGAAAGGAGTCGAGTCGTTGTGGTTGCAGTTATGTCTTCCTTCTGCATTTACCAGCAGCAGCCGGAGGTCTTGAGCTCCCCGGGTTGTGTGGGTGCTGTTGGTGGCCACTTTTTGGAAGGTGGCTCTGAAATACTCCTATGTTCAGCCCCATCAAGTGTCACTGATGCTGCTGTTCCCGAAGCTGACGGCCCGTGACCCAGCCCCACTTCTCCCAGTCCAAGCTGTGGGCGATGAGCTGTGACGGTGCCCTTCCGCGGAGCCGCGGTACCTGCTGGTGGCGCTGGGAGTCGGGAGCCTCCGTGGCTCCGTACGCTGCGTTTGGTGGCAGTTGTCTCCCTTGGACGGCCTCCAAGATGCTCCCCTCAGAATAGCCGGGGATTTCACACCATCCGAACGGTTCCGCTCCCGTTCTCCCTGCCCGCTGCTAACCTTGAGGATGCGGCTCTCCGTCGCTCGCGTGTCAGATGGGCTCAGTTGTGCGTGTGCGAAAGGCAAGGACTATTCCAGCAATGCCTGCAGCTATTTTCTTCTTGTTAAAATAAGAGCTGAGGCAGTCTCCACAGCTGGGCTCTCACAGCGGATCTTGGGCTGTATCCCATCCATCCATGAGGCTCTTTAATATCCCTTTCCTATGTTCCTATGCTCTTGCTGACTGAGGGCCTGAGTTTCTACCGTGCGTTTTGTTAAAAAGTACCTTTGTTACCATCACGGAGGGCAGTGATCCGAGGAGAATCTTTCCTGCCCCTCACAAGTCCCTTGTGCTCGTACAGTCGTATTCGGTGCCTTTGCGGTCTCTTGCTGCAGCCGCTTCTCCCGAGCATCCTCCCAGTACGCCTGAAGTCTCCTTACGTGCCGGCGTCTGCTCCCCGCTCGCCTCGCTCTTTTGCTGCCTCCAGGCTCCCACGTTACGTACGCCTGTCGAGAGCAACCGGGGGCTCTTTGCGTGCCGTGCTGGGCGGGTTTGGTGCTGAGCGGGGCACAGTGGCCCCCGTCCTGGGGTTTGGGCGGGGGGGGTCTGCGCCGGGAGCAGTGGCCGAGGAACTGGTGGAGCACCTCCTGTCTCTTCTCACACCCTTTCGCTTCTCTTCGCTCCTTCTCTCTCCATTCGCCTTCCCCATCCTCCACCCCTTGCCTCCAGCTGGTGCAGACCCGGAGTGAGAGGCAGCCCCCATCGCTCCCTGCCGGGCAGGAGGCATTCCCCCGCCGCCTCCGGCTCCCGAGGACGGCGTTGCAGTAGGGGGTAGCGAGAGCAGCGGTGTGTGGCCATTGTCCGGCTGCCGGGGCACGCTAGCAGGTCGGGCAGGGGTCCAGCAGCCCTGCACCCCTCCGGCTGTGACTTTCCATTTCTCCTTTCCTCCCACCTCCCGCTCTCCGCTTCAAAAAGGGTCCGGGAGCCCCTGGGGCTGACGCAGCGCTGCTCTGATAATGCATTTTTGCAGTCGCAGGTGGGCACCAGGCCGGGGGCACAAACCGCTGTGCAGCAGAGGGGCTGTCGGCGGCGGGGGCACGCGCGGGGGCATGGCTTCGCGCGGGAGAGCCCAACCTCTAATTCCCCTCTCCGGGATTAGAGGTTTGCTCCAGCTGACCCAGGAAAAGGGGGAAACGCTCGGTCCGGCGCTTTCCATCCCGAAGCGGCGATGCGCACACACAGATGCGAGCTGAGCGAGCGCAGAGGAACCCTCTGGCGAAGTTGTCCCCAGTCCTGCAGCTGGAAGGGCATCGGCTCCCGCAGCCACTCCGGTTCCCCGGGGACCAGGGCGAGCTGTGCG